TAAATGTCTATTAGGTCCGCTTGGTCCAGTTCTGAGTTCAAGTCCTGGATATCCTTGTTAACTTTCTGTCTGATTAATCTGTCTAATATTGACAGTGGAGTGTTAAAGTCTCCCACTATTATTGTGTTGGAGTCTAAGTCTCTTTGTAGGTTGTTAAGAACTTGTTTTATGTACCTGGGTGCTCCTGTATTGGATGCTTATATATTTAGAATCGTTAGCTCTTCTTGTTGCATTAATCCTTTTACCATTATGTAATGTCTTTCTTTGTCTCTTTTGATCTTTGTTGGTTTAAAGTCCATTTTATCAGAGACTAGGATTGCAACTCCTGAATTTTTTTGCTCTCCATTTGCTTGATAAATCTTCCTCCATCCCTTTATTTTGAACCTATGTTTGTCCTTGCGTGTGAGATGGGTTTCCTGAATACAGCACACCAATAGGTCTTGACTTTTTATCCAGTTTGCCAATCTGTGTCTTTTGATTGGGGCATTTAGCCTATTTACATTTAAGGTTAATATTGTTATGTGTGAATTTGATCCACCATTTTGATGCTAGCTGGATATTTTGCCTGTTAGTTGACACATTTTTTTCATTGTGTCGATGGTCTTTACCATTTGGTACTTTTTTGGAGTGGCTGGTACTGGTTATTCCTTTCCTTGTATAGTGCTTCTTTTAGGACCTCTTGGAAGGCAGGCCTGGTGGTGACGAAATTCTCAGCAATTGCTTGTCCATGAAAGATTTTATTTCTCCTTCTCTTACGATGCTTAGTTTGGTTGGATATGAAATTCTAGGTTGAAAGTTCTTTTCTTTAAGGATGTTGAATACTGGGCCCCACTCTCTTCTGGCATGTAGGATTTCTGCATAGAGATCCACTGTGAGTCTGATGGGCTTCTCTTTGTGGGTAAGTCGACCTTTCTCTCTGGCTGCCCTTAGCATTTTTTCCTTCATTTCAACACTGGTGAATCTGACGATTATGTGCCTTGGAGTTTCTCTTCTTGAGGAATATCTTTGTGGTGGTCTCTGTATTTCCTGAACTTGTATGGTGGCCTGGCTTGTTAGGCTGGGGAAGTGCTCCTGGATAATATCCTGAAGAGTGTTTTCCAGCTTGGATTAATTATCTCTGTCACATTCAGGAAAACCTATCAAATGTATATTTGGACTTTTCACATAATCCCATATTTCTTGGAGGCTTTGTTCTTTTCTTTTCACTCTTTTTTCCTATTCTTGCATTCTCAGTTTATTTCATTGAGTTGATCTTCAATCTCTGATATCCTTTCTTCTGCTTGGTCGATTCGGCTATTGAATCTTGTGTATGCTTTGCGAAGTTCTCATGCTCTGTTTTTCAGCTCCATGACATCATTTATATTCTTCTCTTAGCTGTTTTTTCTAGTTAGCATCTCATGTCACCTTTTCTCTAGGTTCTTAGTTTCTTTGCATTGGGTTAGTGCATGTTCTTTTAGCTCTGAGAAGTTTATTGTTACCCACCCTCTGAAGTCTGTTTCTGTCAATTCATCAGATTCATTCTCCGTGCATCTTTGATCCTTAGCTGGCGAGGAGTTGTGATCCTTTGGAGGAGGAGAGGTGTTCTGGTTTTTGATGTTTTCAGCCTTTTTCTGCTGGTTTCTTCCCATCTTAGTGGCTTTATCTACCTGTGGTCTTTGTAGTTGTTGACTTTCGGATGGGGTCTCTGAGTGGATATCCTTTTTGTTGATTATGAAGTTATTTCTATTTCTTAGTTTTCCTTTTAACAGTCAGGCCCCTCTGCTGCAGGACTGCTGTAGGTCCACTCCAGACCCTGCTTGCCTGGGGATCACCTGCAGAACAGTATGGGTTGCTGCTCGTTTCTTCTTCTGTTATCTTCGTCCCAGAAGGGTACCTGCCAGATGTCGGCCTGAGCTTTCCTTTATGAGGTGTCTCTTTGGGTATACAGGGGTCGGGAGCTGCTTGAGGAGACCGCCTGTCCCTTATGAGAGCTCAAGTACTGTGCTGGGAGCTCCATTGTTCCATGCAGAGCTGTGGGCAGGAACTCATAGCCGCCTCTTTTCCCAGGTGCTCTGTCCTAGGAAGGTCGGCTTTATTTATAAGTTCCTGTCACGCTGCTGCCTTTTTCAGTAGATACGCTGCCCCTCATGTAGTAGTCTAGTCAGTCTGCCAGCAGAGGTGTTGCTGAGCTGCTGCAGGCTCTGCCCAGCTGCTGTGTGAACCGCCTCTGACGTGGCGGATTGCCTTAGTAGCGGTGGTCATCCTTCCCCCTACTGAGCTGGACTGTCCTGGGTCCAGCTGCGCTTGCTGCAAAATTCTCAATCCAGAGCGTTTCAGATTGCTTGTTTTGTGGGGGTGGTACCCGCTGAGGCAGATCGCATGGCTCCCTGTCTCTGCCTCATCCCTTTCACTTGAATGGCTGGCTCTGTCTCCTCTGCATTCCAGGCACCAGTTGAAACGGCCACCCAGATTTGTGTGAGTTTCTGTGCGCCAAGCTGGCACCGGCTGAAACTGCTGTGCTGAAAACTCATGCCGCTTTTCGGCCTGATGATCTCCTGGTCTGCGAGCAGTAAAAATTTGTTTGGAAATGTGGTGGGCACTTGCCCTCTGTGTTGTTCTTGCTGGGAACTGCACTCCGGAGCTGTTCCTATTTGGCCATCTTGGATCCTCTGTCAATAAATTATTTTTATTTAGCCTAGTTTTACGTGCATTTTACAGAAACAAGATACATAGTGTATATATTATTATGCAGCTCATTGAAACCAGAATTTCATAAAATTTTAATAAATATGTTTAATCTGTTGTCCCTAGAGAATGTTGAGAATTAATAGTTATGTTTCCACCCACTTCTTTCAATTGAGTTCATTTATTGACAGCTGTATTCTCTGCTGAAAGCTCTATTTCACCATGGATTTTTCTCACAGAGACTCAGGTGTTTAATCTTTGACACCATTGCTGACATTTTCATGGACAAATCATGCAAATGCTGCATATACATAAAGGGAAATTAAAGATGTCTGCCAGTGTCTCTACCTTAAAGCACCATTTTAAAATTAAGATAATTGTAAACATATTAAAAGCAAATGGAATCGCTCACACACTATCCAACTTATGGATGGGTTGTGTTGTGAGAGTGTTAGTTGTTTGTTAAGATCTTTGGGTGCATTTTTCCTGAGGAACACAGTGAGTACACAATCATGTGATTCCTGGACCCGCCTTCAACACACGTTTCATGTGTACAACACAACACACATGTTATTTAATTGCCATTAAAATTTTAGGAACTATTCTTTTCACACACTGTGGATTAGCTGAGTTATATAAGCATGCTATGAGTCTTCCCTGTGAAACAACACTGTTACTCCATTGGTTAAGGAAGGAAATATCTTAATGATATTTCTTAGAGTGGAGCACATCTCCACTTGGGTCTCACTTTCTGAAATACAAAATGAAGAGGCCAGTCAGACCACCTCTGAGGTTAGTATTCTGTGTATTGTCTCATAATCTTTTTAGTGATTTTTTTTTTGCCTTAATCTGTATATCCATGATATGATTTTTTTGTCACCTGTCTCACATTACTGTAAGCTTTCCTCCTTTGCTACCATTTTTCTTCTTCTTCACATTCATAATTTTGAGACAGAGTTTCACCCTGTCACTCATGCTGAAGAGCAGTGGTGCCATCATAACTCACTGTAACCTCAAACCCTTTGGGTCAAGCAGTTCTCTCACCTCAGCCCCCTGAATAGCTAAAACTACAGACAGGTGGCACCATGCTTGTTCTCGGCGCCCCCACCCCTGTAAAGATGGGGTCTTGCTGTGTTGCCTAGCTGGTTTTGAACTCCTGGGCTCAAGCCATCCTCCCACCTCAGCTCCTGAAGTGCTGGGATTACAGGCATGACCCACCATACTTGGCCTTTCTTCTTCTTTCTGTTAATTTGGTTTAGTTTTGATTCTGATGATTCTCCCTCAGTGCCTTTCACTGTGGATTCCAGGAATAATTGCTCTCCATTAAAAATAAATACAGATATAATGCATTGAATGAGTAGATTAGAACTTTTTCACATACCTAACTTAAAGGTAAATAAATTCTGTACTCACTGGAAGCTAGCCCTTCACCATAAAAAGTTTAATATTCAGATTATTAATAATTATGATTATTAATATTAATAGAATACAGAACCTCATGCTAAGACTTTTACATGAATTTCCTCATTTATTTACAAGAACAATATAAAGTAGATCTTAATATAATTCCCATTTTACAAATTAAAAACTTGCTGAAGATGAGTGATATGGATATAAAGTTAGACCGGAAATACAATTAGATTCATAGTAAGTCAATGCTATATTATTTTGTACTCTTTTTAAACTTTTAAGCAATATAACAGCACAATTAAGCATTTAAGCAATTGACTCACACAGAGCTGAGTTTGCCTTATAGATTTCTCACTTGTTACCTGCTGGCCTCCTCTCTTGGAGGACAGTTTTTTACCTCTCCAGGCCTCATTTTCTCATGATAGAAGATAGAGATAATAATAACTAATCAGAGAATGTAGTGAGGAGACAGGAATGTAAACTAATTGTGAACACTATATGCAATGCACTTAGCCTGGCGCCGGTACATTACACATACTGAATGAATAAATAATCATTATAATTATTATTCGTATCAGTGATATCTAATTTGCAAATCTTTGCTCAAAGTAATTTATCTTTGATATGAACCTTTATGTGTGAAGGTTTAAAATGTGCAGCTGTTAAAAAAAGTTCCCTTAAGCTGTTGTTTCAATGATAATTTCTGTTTTGTGTCAAGTATCAAATTCAGGTATCTCAGCCTACTTTAATATAGTAAGACAGGAGCGCATTTCCACAGAGGTATGTAGGTCAAACACTGCTTTGTTGGTGCTGGTGGTAAATAACAAAAAGAGAATACCAGTAGAGTGGAACTTCCTCATTTGGCAGTGACTGAAATGTGAACGTTCAGATGAGCTGGTCTCACCACTCCATCCCCTGTGCTCCAGTTCCAGGGAAACCTCGACTTGTGATTAACCACACTCAGATGAATACTGCTCTCATTCAGTGGCACCCTCCCGTGGACACATTTGGACCTCTTCAGGGCTACCGTCTAAAATTTGGCCGCAAGGATATGGAGCCACTTACCACTCTTGAGTTCTCTGAAAAAGAAGATCACTTTACAGCTACAGACATCCACAAAGGAGCATCATACGTCTTTAGGCTCTCAGCCAGAAACAAAGTGGGCTTTGGGGAGGAGATGGTGAAGGAGATTTCCATTCCCGAAGAAGTACCAACTGGATTCCCTCAAAACCTTCACTCAGAAGGCACCACTTCAACCTCCGTCCAGTTAACTTGGCAACCACCTGTCCTGGCAGAGAGAAATGGCATTATCACCAAGTATACCCTTCTTTATAGGGATATCAACATCCCCCTTCTTCCAATGGAGCAGCTTATTGTTCCAGCTGACACCACTATGACACTCACTGGCTTAAAACCAGATACCACATACGATGTAAAAGTACGTGCTCATACGAGCAAAGGGCCCGGGCCATATAGTCCCAGTGTCCAGTTCAGGACACTGCCTGTGGATCAAGGTAGGATTTGTCTGCTTACGGCCTTCCTCCTTTAAAGGAATGTCAGTCTTTGGAAATCAGTATTTTGAGGCAATAATAACTGATCAGCCCATTCATATTAATAGGTTCAGCAAAAACAAAAAGGTAAAGTATATAAAACTTACTACATCTTGGATGCCTTAGATTTCAGTTATAGAATGTCAAGCAAGTCTGGCTGACAGCACCCCAATGTCCTCAGGTAAGGAAAACACAATATAGTTGGCTGAATTGGAGAGAAAGGAAAGATCTTTATGAGAATGGGGTATTAAAATGAATGCTCTAAACAGGTAGGAAAATCATACTTCTCTCTCTGATCAAAGTAGACAGCATTTAGCATAAGCCCTGTGGTCCATGGTGGAAAAGGACAGGTCGTATGTCTTAAGAATAGTTTAAATACACTGTTTTTCCTTTTCCAGCAGTGTTTGCAAAAAATTTTCATGTCAAAGCAGTAATGAAGACTTCTGTGTTGCTGTCTTGGGAGATTCCAGAGAATTATAACTCCGCCATGCCTTTCAAAGTAAGTTGTTTTCTAATTTGTAAGAGATCACAGATAAAAGTAGAGGGGACAGTTTATTTGGGTAAGTTATTTGCAGAGCAAACAGACTGCTTGGTTTTGGCCACATGTCCATGTCCTTACTATTCTCTCTCTCTCTTTTTTTTTTTTTTTTTTTTT